AAGCGGCTCCTAAAAAATAACCATAAGCCTTCTTTTAAAAGTTTAACAAGCTCCTACTGCAGGCTAAGTGTGGAGCGGGGAACTCATACAGAGTATACAGTGTTTTATAAAACCTGTTTCCCCCCACAAACCTGGATTAGCAGAAGCCCAAACAAAGCCCTGAGGAGACGTTTTATTTCATCTTAACCACGATATGAGTTGTAAGAATATCAGTCTCAAACCTATTGTTTCAGGTTAGGTCTGTGCTCCAGACTGACTGCGACGCCTTACAATGTAAAAATGAATGTGTTGTTTGATCACCCCATCTCTTACTCCATTCTTCACGTAGAAGGTCAGAAGATCTCAAAAGAACTTCATACTCTGTGTAATAAAACAACATTAAAACCAGCGCAATTTGGGGTTCACAGCGAAAACAACATCCATGAATGGTTCGTAGCTCGGACTTACAGTCCTGGGGAAAACTTTACAGAAATCTTGCATTCTTTGAACATTAAGACTCTTCGCAGTCACACATCTCATTTAAAATAACGGTTTCTTAAAGAACCTTCTAGTGAAATATACAGAATTAAAGCTCTTTTCTTTGTGAGGAGACTTTATTTGTTCACAAAAAACACACAAAAAATATTATAAATAATACTAATACTGTAAATAGTGATTTTGTGTATGTAGTTGTGTTTGGTTAACCCTTTCCTAATCTCTCCTCAAAGATGTCCAGTATGACTTGATGTTGATCCAACACCTGGGTTATCTAATCAATGCTTGTTCAATCAATACTTAATAATATGTTATGATCAGGTGCTGCTGATGGAACGTAATAACGTTCTTACAAATAGCTCACAGGATGTAATATTTACTGTGTTCGTGTTTATTTGCATGTAATCTTTTTCATATACGGTGGTTTTGCGAGCACACACACGCACTTATTGCCAAAATAAAGGGTCTAAAAAGTGTCTAAGACTTTTGCACAATACTGTGTATATATATATACACATTTTTTGTTTATTGTTCATATTATTTTTGAGACGTCTACGTTGAAAGAAAAGATGTCATTCTATACATTGCAGACCATCCATTCATGTCCAGGTTACTAATCAGAGCCGCAATGGCAGATCATTCATTTTCACTACTTTGAATATTTGATTTTTTTATCTATAGACGCTTTTCTTTGGCACGCTGGACAGACGCCTCACTTCAAATGACCAGCCTGCGTGAGGGGACTAATTGGAAAGATCTGGAGACTGCTGTCTGGACAAAGAGCCTTTTAACTTGAACTTGGACGTCTGTAGACGACAGAGGTCTGCGGGTCTTATTGTGATGGGCGGGAAGTGGGCCAGTTCTTTATGACGGCCAGGCTGTTTTGTTTAGCGTGTATCTTACCTGCTTTGTAAGTTATTATGCAAATGTTTGGCAATTTTAGAATTGTACCAAAACAGAAACAGAATCAGCAGAAACAACTTGTCAAATTAAAAAAGGTTGGACAAATTATTCACTAATATGTATTTATGCGCTGAACTAGCGCGCCAAAATATAAGATGAAGTATTTGAAATATACAAATATTATCACGGTTTGGTACATTATTAATCAACGATTTCAGTATAATCCAGCATTCAGTGGGTTTAACTGGTGTACTATGAGCAACGTTTAGACTTGTTTCCAGTGTTTTGTTTAAGTAATTCGTTTCTTAAAAAAATATCAACTATTCTAAATTCAAAATAACAAAGAATTCTGGACTCATTTTAACTTTTTTAACCTCGATTGTTTCGTCCTATGACTGACTAGATGCTATTTAAAGCCCTGATGTGTTTTCCCTACAGAAATGCGTGGAGTTCCTTGTTTATGCTTTGGGCTACAAGCAAAAAGGAAAAGTAACAGTGGTTCCCAATCCCGTCCTTCAAAATCTTGGATTTTTCTGCGTTAACACCGCCAACTTCCAATCAGGAAGGACTTATTAATGAGCTGGTTGTTGGATCAGAGGTGTTAGACCAGAACAAACACCAAAACTATTTGATGTCTAATGTCTTAGGAAACTCCAGTACAGGTCAGCAGCAGATTCATCTTTCCTCACAGTGAGCAATTAGTCATGTGGCTACAGATAGTAGCCAGTAATGTTGATAGAAGCTTAAAACCTTTCATCAGATGTCATAAAAAAGTGTGCAAGGTGATACTAAACCTTTAAAAAGCATAAGAAAACATGCACATCATTATGAAATCTATTAAAGACGTAATACTTTAGTGCACGCTATTTATGCTTCTTCACAAAATATATGTTTCTGCAAATATTGCATCGCTCAGAAAATGGAAATATAGGAGAGCGTTATAACGTAACATGTCCACGTTTCATGGTTGCATTAACTGTATCATACCCCCCATCTCTAAACCACTGAGATGTACACTGTACTGAATGGATGTTTGCTAACCGTGAGTAACTGACTCACAATCTGCCCGGACACATGAACGTGCAATATGTACACATCACACACGACCTCAACGATCTCAGTCAGGCAGAACATGCATAACATTTGGAATTAAGGTTCTGTAATGCAAACAACAGCACTGAAGTCCTTCTACGTTTCCGTTAAGCCCACTTTCAAAAAGTTTAGTTAGCCTGATCATGTTTTAGCGATATGAGATCGTGAACATAAGCCGGGTGCTCTGAGATTTTCAGAGAATCGTCCGTTTCCTGATTTACCATGAAACGCTTTAAGCCTGCAGCACCGTGTGGATGTTTTTCAGACGGTTCTGGAAGATGACCCAACACTGTGGCCTGTTCATCTTTCTTTAGATTCACTGAAGTCCATTTCAATAGAAAACCCTCACAGACTTTTATTCCAAGTGCTATTTGTTTTCAGAGTTTAAAATGCGTCGTTTGCATGTAAAAATAAAATGAAACTGTAGACTGATTTGCTGGTTGAACTGCAGTTTAATGTTTATGCCACTACAGTTTTTTTCAAATTTCCAAATTTAAACATACCCTCTCTGTTTGTTGGAAGTTAGACGTTGTAAAACGATTCCTTTGTCCTTTAGGTTTCAGAATTAGACTTTAGATTTTTTTTAAGTTTATTTTTAGATTTTACATTAACATCTGTAAAGGATAGAAATGTGATTAATCGATTCACGAATGATTGTCACTTAATATGTGTGAGCAATTCTGTGTATTTTATATAAGTTTGTTTATATATTTCTCTAGATGTACAGTTTGGTGGATTAATTGTCACATTTTGATAATAAATGTAAGTTTTGTTATTTTTGATGTAGGTTATTTTAGGGTGCCTTATAATATCTGGCCTCTGGCTTATTTATCTGTTGATGCCTTTTATCAGTGGGCACTGTCCCTGACAAATAAACGAACAATCATCATGATAATAAAAAGCAATGTTTTCATAGAAATGGTATAGATGGTCTATGACATAAATTCTAAAACCAATTCTAAAACCTGGTGCTCTGAATTGATTTAGCGACCGTGCTGTCTTAAGGCCTTAAGCTCTGCTGGGTTAATCTCAATTTTTAAGTATTGATCAGAACCCGACAGAGCTTTTTAACCTCTAGCTATTGCCAGTGATGCACATTTTTAAGCGTTTAATTTTTTGCATGGCACATGGCACAGTTTGACCAACTGACCAATCTATCTATTTGTTTAGAATATGGTGGATAGTATGGAGATACTTTGGATCTACTTGGATGCCCGTTTTAAACTCCATCTTAAGGTTTCTTTCGGGCGGGTGGCCGGAGGTGTCCCTGAAATCTGGCGTGATCGCACCAAGTTTTCACGTAAACTCGACAGCGCGAGTGAGAAGTCCGTTCTTGTCTGTCTAGACTGATTACGACCCTGTTTGTCTGAGTTTCCACCTTGACATTGGACTTCCTGACAGCTGGCCTTTGAATGGTCAGTATTTGTGAGCTATTTGCCTATTGGCCTAGTTTTGTTCTTCTCTACAGACGCACGAATTCCGTTTACTGAAAAGATTTGGGAATTATGGTTGTTTTTTTAGGCGTGTAGATAATGCAACAAAGCCCAGAGTAAGTAGACTCTCTCTCTCTCTCTCTCTCTCTCTCTCTCTCTCTCTCTCCATTTATTTATATAGGGTAAATATAATTTTTTAAACTACGCAGAGGATATTATAAGATATATGACTTTAGCCAGATTTCAGGTCAACTAAAAACAGCGTTGTTGGACTTACAAACTAAAAATATGTCGACATTGAACACGTTCATTATGTTTTCTTTAAGTATTTTTTATGTAAAATGGACAAAATGCATTTCAGTGAATAAAAACTGTTCATGTTGAGCCAAAGAGAATTCAATTCTAGCGAAAGTGAAATAAATTACACTGAAATGTTTCGAGAACTGTATGTCCTCGCAAATCTGCTCTGTTTGACTGAATGAAAAGATTTGATTTACTTGAAATAAATTCAAACAACCAGTTACTTTTTTAATATGAAAAAAAGAAAAGTTTTTAAATCTATCATCGCTACCATTTTTCTCGGGCATGGCAGAATGTCATTGCATGTACTTTTCCGTGTATGTTTATTTGCTTTTGACAAAATACAGGGCTTAAATATTGGTACATTCCATAGAACTTACACAAATCCCTTTTATCTTTCCCAAAGATGATGATCCGGATGTTGAACTTGCGTTTTGGGCCATCTATTGTTATTTTGCCCAGATATGGTACAGAATTTCTTTTCGACCACTTCTGTAAGCTGTTATGTCATCCCCTTTAAGGACAGGCACATCTGTTGTCCCAGCCAATGACAGCGTGCGCCGCATTTTAAAATGCCAATACAAGTCTTAAGGTTCTGGCTACTTAAAGGGATGACACGTCCCGTACCGTCCCCCACCCGAAGTCCCCCCCAACCCCCATCCTTTCCGTGGTTCTTGATAGCGTCACGTGTCAGCAAAAGCCCTGGTCTTAATAATGAACTGGACACTGGAGGCTTGGTGTGGACGCGCATGCGCACAGGAGAAAGAAAAAAATGAGCTTGGAAGTGAGGTGCCCCTCTTGGACTAGTCGACTTTTAAAAAGGCATCGACAGCGCGTGATATGACGACTTCGCTGGTCCTGCATCCACGCTGGGCGGACACCTTGATGTACGTGTACGAAAAAAGCCCGAATGAAAACAATCCACATAAAAACCAGGCCATGGAGGGACTGAGCGGCAATTGTCCTGCCACTCACTGCAGAGAACTGATCTCGCACCCGTCGCTGGGGCGCCACTCTGGAAGCATACTGAGTCACCAGGGCTCGGTTTACCCGGACATACCCGCGCAGGACTCCGGCAGCAGGCAATGCCCCGCGCCGCAGACGTCTTCGGGCGCGTCGTTGGGTTGCGCTTATCCTTTCGGGAGCCCCTACTACGGATGCCGCCTGTCGCATTCGCACGGCGTGAACGTGCAGCAGAAGCCTTGCTCGTACCATCCTGCCGAGAAGTACACGGAGCCCAGCGGACCTCTGCCCGCCGAGGAGCTTTCCAGCCGGGCCAAAGAGTTTGCTTTTTACCCGAGCTTCGCCAGCTCTTACCAAACCGTCCCGGGCTATTTGGACATGTCGGTGATGCCGGGAATCAGCGCGCACCCAGAGCCGCGGCACGAGACTTTAATACCAATGGACGGCTATAATCACTGGGCACTGTCGAACGGCTGGGAGGGCCAGGTATATTGTTCCAAGGAGCAATCTCAGTCCAGCCACCTTTGGAAGTCTCCTTTTCCAGGTATACAGGGCAGTAAAATATACATTAACCTAGACTGTTAAAAATTATGAGTCGTCCAGGGTTCTTTAGTAAAGACAATGGTTATATATAGAACGATGAACACTCAAACAGCCATTTGCAGGGTTCTTTGGATGGTGTAATGGTTCATGCAACACATTCTCCATCAACCTGAAGAACCGTTTCACCATGTAAAGGACTACGCATGCAAATGGTTCTTTGTGTGTTCATGGTTCTATGCAGAATCATTTTCTTCACTAGGGAACCCCTGAAGAACCATCTTTTTTAAGAGTGTAGGAAGCATGTAGTACTGTCTTAATTGTTATGGGCCGCAGATTAATCCACTGCAAATGCCAGCATCGGAGTTGAAAATGCGCTTAAGTCTAGGACATTAATTTTGTGCTGATTCACTATTTCACAGCGCATCAGAATGAAAAATTAAGTCTTGATGTAAACAATCACAGTGCGATTTATGCTGGGATCATGAGCAGCCCACAAGCTGCGATTATGAGCAGATGGGCTGGTTAGCGTCAGAATATTTGTGGTGGAGTCTTACATATTCTTTATCCTTGGGTTACATTTTTTACGCATATAAAATGTTTGGGTTAAGCTCGAGGAAATGGTTGCACAGCACGCACAGATATTAAATTTTAATCAGTTGAATTGAGACATGGCGCAAAATCTTAAGTTTTTTTGTAGAAAGACAGTTTAGTCTTTTAGGCATATTTGAATGTATTATTATTATTATTATTATTATTATTATTGATGTTTTGTTGTTAGTGGTAGCAGTGTTGATTTAAATAGCAATAATGGTAATTACAATAGTATTTACAATAGTAATAGTATGAGTATAGTAGTAATATGAATATCTGTTTAAATGTATGTATGAATATTGTGTGTGTGTGTATGTGTGTGTGTGTGCGTGCGTGCGTGCGTGCATATATGTGTCATTTCTGGGGGAGGGGGGTATAATGCAGGCCTACATAGGCCTATGTGTTTGTTTACAGGCCTCAAATTCTGAAGATGGATTTAAGCCTAAATTGATGAGATAAACACAGTCTCTAAACTGAAATTTCACTTAAATTTTCGAAGTTTAAAAAAATTCAAAACCTCTTAAGAACGCTTTTGGTTACCTCATCAATTTATCACCTCAGTTCTAACTCTTAGCTAGCACCACATTCATAAGGCGAACACTGAAAAGCCTCAGAGTAGAAACGAGGTGTCTAATATTATCTCACTTTGATAGTCTGGCCTCTGTTCTTAGCCGACATCCAAAAAATTCCTGGAACGTTTCCAAATGGCACGTTCCCTGCGGTCAGTCGTCATTTTTAATAGGCTACAGTTTGTCTCTCTATTGTCTTCTGTAATACTGTCTATTAACTCTTCTACATGACCCTATAAACACTGCCAGTTAATCTTTGCTCTTCATCCGCGAGTACTTCCCTAAATAAATTGAAATAGATTACTTCAATTACATAATAGAGGTACAAGAGGAGAAAGTGAGCACTCCTCTACTGTACACAAATTAGGAATCTAGCATTTATTAGAAGCGACCAGCAAAATCGCACGGACGTTGATGATCCTCTTCCGTGATCGCAATCTGCGCGAAATTAAACAACAAAATAAAATCATTAGGTACATTAAAACACACCATGCAGTGATTCCAACACCATTTTTGCTGAGGTTAACACGTACAACACAAATTAGGGAACCTGCAAGTTGTAATAATGTTCTTGTAGTTTTACAATATACGCGTTTGCATAGTTGTACACGTTATAGCGCCAGAAACAATTGCGGCATTTTTCACTAGCAGTTTTACTTTACCCATTGAATAGGTATCAGTGTTGGCAGCTGCATTAATTTCTTCTTTACACAGCCTGTTAATGAAAGTGCGCCAGTTCAGTGCGCCAGTCCGCACATTTTAGTGCACAATGACTATTTATTTGACACATTGGTGAGAAAGGTAACATAAAATGTGGCCTGCAAACGTTATGGCACATTTTATAATTTATGTTTTTCTTTCTTTCTAATGTGTCCAACTAATTGTGCACTAAAATATACATTTGTGTGAACTTTTTTCACTTTGAAAATCACCCAGACTTTTGCATAAGACTGTATGCAACCGTTTCTGTTCGCTCTCTTAGATAAAATGCCTCACAGGAGTTTATATTGCTCACAGAAACCAGGCTGACATTCTTCAGACTTTAGTTAAATGTAAAGTACGAGCTTATATATACGAACTTCTATATAAAATATCCCCCAAACATTACATGCACGCTTCATTTTCTCTTTTGTCCTGACTTGACCCTCTCTGCAGACGTGGTGCCGCTGCAGCCCGAAGTCAGCAGTTACCGTCGTGGCCGCAAGAAGAGGGTGCCTTACACCAAGATCCAGTTGAAAGAGCTCGAGAAGGAGTACGCCTCCAGCAAGTTCATCACCAAAGACAAGAGACGCCGCATCTCCACTGCGACCAACCTCACCGAGCGCCAGGTTACAATCTGGTTCCAGAACCGACGCGTAAAGGAAAAGAAGTTCGTCTGCAAATCGAAGTCAAGCACTCACATGCATGCTACCTGATTCTTGTCCATATTCAGCGAAATAACGAATTAAAGGGTTGTGGTGAAATATTTATATTTGATCTGTCAAGCCTGGCGTACCTGGCCCCCAGCTTTACTGTCCACCTCAAAGGATCTGGTAAATAAAACCCGGTGTGTAAAAATAAAAAATCAGTTGTAGTTTATTACAATTGAGTTTAATTCTTGCAGAGAGATTCAGAGGGGTTTGGTGTTGAATGGTGCAGATTTCTTTACAGTGGTGGTGATAGGAACCAGGGGTCACCATGACTACAACACAAATATAGACATTTTATTTACTATCCAAATCACCAGTGATCCTACACGTGTCTTCTGAGTTTTATATGGGATGTTGATGATGGAAAAAAAAACTAAAATAATAAGTTTTCTTTGGGGACTATTTAGTCTTACAACGTCCTGCATGTATCCTTCCACCAATTTTGGCCAAAATCAGATCAGATCAAAACTATCATAATACAACATGACAGACATCAAGCAGTGTAGTCATAACAATTTCATGTAATAACTTGCTGTGAAGGAGCTTTCAGAGGTGGACGTCTGGTTCCTATCACCACCACTCTGGCCAATTCTGACTTAAGTTTCTCTAGAACGGAGCGTTTCACACCAAATCGCTCTGGATGACTCTGTTTGCATCTTAATCGTTTAAGTACATAGTTTTAAACATGTATAATTAGTGGAATTCCCCTTTAAGACATCTGTTAGCAAGAAGCATCAGTGGGAAACAGATCAAATGCATCATAACGGATTTCTTTGAGGGAAGCAGTGTGCCAACTCTGAGCTGAGAAATACAGCAGGGTGCATAAAGCTCACGTTTCAAAGACAGTCCGTCCTGTATCTGTATCTGACCCGGAGCGAGTGAGCAAGGCTGCTATTGTGAAATTGTACAGTATCATGCATTGTTATTTAATTAAGTCTCTGTGGTGCGAAAGGAGTTGTATATTGCTTATAGTTTATGGATCTCTCGTTCACGTTCTCTCAGCGAAGGATGTTTCTCTGTCGTGAAACTGGAATGTTTGTTATTGCATTGTGGATATTAAAGAGTATTACTTATTAATGCACGTTTTTTTCCCCTGCCTGGATCTGTGTAGCGCGTGTTTGTGTCGTTTCATATGTATGTATGTATGTATGTATGTATGTATATATACACTGTTTTTATAAGCAGGTTTTCATTTTATAAAGTTGATTTATTCTACATGTTTGTCCCGAATATATTCATAAATCTGTCATAATCATTATGCAGGTAAACAAGATTCATATAATCTGGATCAACTGGAGCGTAGTAGTCAAAATTTATTTTAAATGTTTTTCCTTTCTTTTTTTTTTAAACCTAGAGGCTGCATTACTGCAATGTGTCCACAAATCTGTCTCATAATCATTTTTTTTTTCAATTAGAAGAAATACGTTTGTGTTACTTTTAACGATTGAATGTCTTTTCTTTGCAAACTGTACAGAATTGAACCAAAAACCAAAATAGTTTGAGGCACAAGTGAAAAGAAAAACCTCGGTGGCTGTTAATGTCGCGGCAATGACACATAATTGCGAAAAAAAAAAACATTTTGTAGAATATACAGTACTGTACAAAAACCAAATATTATTTATTATTCAACACCTGGTTTATCCAAACAATACTTCATCATGTTAAATCAAGTGCTGCTGATGGAACTTAATAAATCTCTGTGATGCTGGAAGAGAAACCTGGAACCAAACTTTGTTTTTCAAACTAGCTCAAGATATAAAATATTCTTTATTTTTTTCCTGTAGTTATGTTTATTTGTATGTATTCTAGTGACATGCTGTTTTGCAAGCAAAAGCAAACTTTTGCTAAGATATATGATTTTAAACAGAGGTACAACGTAGGTGCACAGTACTGTATATGTTTTAATAATAAACTTTAAAATACTTTGTCCACCAACTGTGAAAAGAAATGGGGGAAAAATATGATGTACATATTTATCCTCAAATCGGACTATGTTGCAGTGATGAAGGTTTGCTAAAAATCAATTCAGAATCACTTAAGGTTTCATTCAGGTTTGTTTTAATTCTTCAACCAGGCATCACTGTTTGTGTGAACAAAAAAATGACCCATCTTTAACAATAACAATACATAAACTAGTATAAACAGTAGACTTCTATTTGTCGAGCAAATATCCGTGTGTATATGCTTAACTACCAAGTTTATAGTGGTTTAAGCATTTTCAATATTCATATTTTTGAATTTACGATTTTACGCAGAGATGAATTAAGCTTGTTAAGATTATCGAGCCTTTCTTCCTCTCCTGTGCAACGCTTTCGCTACAGATCTTACTGTAAACACACATACGTTATCCCTCATATATAATATGCTTCTTCCAGTTTTCGTGTTAACAAAAGCGCTACAGTCGCGTGCAAAAGTCTGAACACCCCGATCAAATTACATGTTTTTGGTGATTTTCTGGGTGTAAATAAGTGAAGATAACCTCTACAGAGCAGACACTTCTGCACATTTCAATGTACAATTTCTGTTTATTTGCTGAATTTAACAATTTGGAAAAAAACATAAAACTGTGCAGAAGTTATGGCACACTTTTTAGTTTTATGTTTTATTTTTTCCCAATATGTCAACTCTATGTTAAAGTTTGTTCCCTGTAGAAGATGTGCTTAGCAAAGCATGTGCTCAAACTTTTGCACACAACAGTATATCTGATTCACATATCCCGAATTGAAATACCGATTTGTCAGTTTATGTAAATGAAGGTATATAATGAGATTTGATGCAGTTAAGCAGGCCTGGGCTACAACCTCTAAGCCAACATTTCTTTAAAGTAATACATTTCAGTATATAACATATATAAATAATAATATCGTTAAGGTTTCGGTGCTAAAGCGTTAAAGTAGAACTGTCGAGAACTTGAGACAAACTTCTGTTTCTCGAAGCTAAACTAACAAGGCCAAACAATACTGCGACACTGTATTTCAGAGAAAGTGCTGAAGAACTTAAAACAGTTTTGTCATATTGGCTACCACAAAAACGCAAAACATGATTACTTTCTCTCGTATTTTATTTATTCAGTTCTTGTCTTCTAGGCCTGCTGTCCTATGCAAAGTTTTGGCACCCCTGATCAAATGACATTTTTGTTTTTTTTCTAATATTCTTTGCGGAGAACACATTTTCTTGCACAATTACTGTTTGTTTGCCGAATGTAACACATTGGACTGAAAAAGAACGTAAATTATGACCTGTGCAAATATCACGCCATATTTTCATCCATTTCTTTATATTAAACTGAGCCAAATAAGTAGAAGTTGAGCACTACTGTTTGTAGAAATATACCATAATTAAGTGTGTTCTCTGTAGAGGACGTGTTAACTTATTTTCAGATAGAAAATTCATAAAATGTGTAACTGTTCAAAGAGAAGGGCGTTCAAACTTTTGCATAGAACGGTAATTTCTTCTTTAGTTGTTGTAGGATGTTGCATTTTACCAGGCTGGGCTAAAAAAAAAAAATATTTGTCGCTGCAAAGCAGTTTTGTAGCTGCTTAGCAACGTATCACAGTAATGAATAATAGCTTCTATATGCTAAAGTTGATGAAGTAGTCAATAGCCAAACAATTTATCTTGACATGAGCGAAGTACGTGACTCGAAGTCGTTTCCGAAACCTTCACTTAGCACGCTTTTCTATTGCTATGCTACAATGCCAGTTGCCCAGTCTGAGCGAGACGACTGGCCATTCATTGTGTCTTTATGCGGCTACCCTTGACCATGACTGTGCAGTCTCTTTGACCTTGACACAAAAAAGCTCAAGCACAGCAAGCTGAGGAAAGGGTGGGCTTCCTTCCCCTTTTAATGGCGCAGTGGTGGTGTTGGTAGCAGACGAGAAACTGTGACAGGACAATTCAGGTTCAATGATACCATGTTTAAAAAAGTTGAAAGCTCTTTAGATTTTTTTAGAATGAGCATTGTTTTTGTTATTTTATCATTACAGTTCGCCTAATATCCCATTAGGTAGGTAGGTTGAAAACTGTTCTCACCGCTTTGCAAAGCCACTAATTCCACACCACACTCAGGCTGAGTCTAGAGTGCGGTATTTTACAGGTAGGGCACTGACGTATGCAGTGACTGCAACACGCTGACTTGGACAAGTTGGAGCTGTGAAGTCTCTGTCTGGCATGTCGTGATTTACTGTACGCCGAGGAGGACAAATAATGAACCTGCCTACATGGAATCAGGAAGATCTTCTGTAAGATACAGCGCCCATCCGTAGCTGGTAAGCTTTCTCAATGCGCAATAAAACACCGCACTGTCCAACAGTTGTGTGATTTTACCTTGAAACACTGAGAGTCCGCCTTGCCTTTCAACAGCCTGTAGTGGACTATTGATTATGGACTACTGAGTACTCTCGGAGAGCTATTACTTCGCACAATACGCTCGTACAGTCAGCGCTTAATTCAAAGTGGGATTGTAGTGCACAGCTTGCTTTGTTTGGGAGGCTTTTCTTTATTATGACATTTAGAAGTTCAGCATACAGGCCTACTTCTTACAGTCATTCCTGTAGCCGCTGTGTGAATGATAAACCGCTTATTTTGTGGCTATTTTTCTACAGCATAAAGATCGTTTTATCCGAACACAGTTAGACTTGTTCTAGGCTGTCTTATGATCACGTTTCGTCGCAGCCCTTTTGGAAAAATCAGGTCAAGTTATGGTGATGCTGGTTTTGAAGCAATGCCGACTTGTTATTGCCCTCATCAACGTCATCAGCAACAAAAAACAATGGCAGCAAGTTGCTTTTGAATAGAAAGGTGATACATGTTCTTAATAAGGCAATGCATTTAACTTTTGTTAAAACGAAGGTTTCCCATTGTGCTTCGAAAGTGTTTTGTTTACATTTCCTTCACATAACATAAAGGCGATATGTGGGTTAACTTATTGTCGCTAATTTTGTCGCAAGTAATTAAAAATAGCGAAATACCGCCTAAATGCTGCCCGCTTTAAGCTCTTGCACTGTTTACCAAACGTATGAGCCAATAAGTAAACAAAAATAGCTTAACAAAGTACAAACAGCTTAACTAATCTTCGAGGAAGATTGAGATAAAGCACTGAAAAAAGCAATGCGCTGAATTTGTCGTGCTCGTGTGAAAAAAACTGTATTACATAAACACAGCTGTTGTCACGAATAAGCGAAGTTGAAGAGAGAGCTATGCTCTAAAGTTCTACATGTAATATTTTTTATACAGTATAGTAAATAGAACTGCTATGTTCC